CTTCGACCGTCCGCTGATGCGGCTCAAGGCGGGCGGACTCTCGAAGCAGGTGGGACCCGGACTTGTTCGGCCCTTTCGGGTACGGGTGCCCAATGACCTCCGTCCGGAGTAAGACATAAAGTCCTGCGCCCGGACCTAAGAGTCCAGCTCTGGCATGTGACAAATTGGGCTTGTCAGTCTAGTTCACAGGCTGGCTGTCTCTCCAGTGCGTGCATCAATTGACAGCATAAGGGACTGTGAGTTGACGAGGTTGACATTGAAGCACACAAAAACAGGAAGCTTCATATTCGTGATGGAAGACAACGATTAGTCCTCATGGTATTCCATTTCAAAGGATGAGATTCCGATTAGTACTCAAATAGTATTCAATGCTCAGGGGAAGTGACGGATGGGAGCTCCGCTGTCGGGGATCTACCTGTAAAGAGTGGATGAATGACTGATCCCCGTTTGCTGGGAGATTAAGCCTCTCCCATATGCATAACCCCGCTAACATGTCACTACAGCTTTCGAGCTCCTGAACTGCGGGAACGTGGCATATCGCAACTTCGAGGCTGGCCTGGTGTAACTCACATGTTGATTCGGGTTTCCCAAGGCCGAGTAGACAATACACTACCTATGAAAATGTCACCTACGAGCTGCAGCCACACGGCCAACAGCAGATGCATTCCTCCTCGTGGACACTTCACGGTGAGGTCATGACGGAAACCACGGGGTATCTTTCCCCATTATTTGCGAATCTCCGACCCAGAACCCCCAGCTTCAGCTCCCACTCCCTCCACCGCCAGCCCCCCAGCGCCCCCGCAAGCCACTGCGTCCAGTGCCCCCTTGGCGGGTCCCCCCAGAGCCTATCAGCGACCTTTTACAGCTGTAGTTCTCCCCTTAGCGCACTCACCATCTGGGGTTGCCGAGGACCTTGAGACCTTGGAGTGGCACCCTCCGCTCTTCTGGGCACTTGTGCCTCGGCCTACGCTCCCAAACTCGGCCTCGCTCATTGGATCGTCTCTCCGTTTCCTGCACCTTCTCACTTGGAGGCCAAGCAGCGACAACCGAATCCCCCGTACGAAGTAGCTAAGGTACGACGCGCACCTCGCTCGACTCGACTCGACTCTTGTAGACGCAAACCTTGAACAAGACAGGTGCCCCCTCGTTTGTCCCAAATCCTTCTCGGGCGGATTACTTCTGTTTATCTCATCTTTTTTTTCTCTCTCTCTCTCTCCAAACCTTTTCGTCTCGACACCTTCCAACCATCTTCACCTCTACCCTCCTGGATATCTCCTGCCTACATCTCGCCTTCAGGCTTCCAGCGCCGAGTCTCGTTTCTTTGCGCCACATCTTGCTGCACTGTCACCGCCCCAACGAACTGGCAGTGAGATCGAGGTAGATCGTTCGTCAGCAACGCAACCAACAGTCCTCGGCTGCCAGCACTCCCCCACAGATTCCCACTGTCGCTTCGAAAATGGCTCCCACAAAAGACACCGCCGCATACATACAGGAGCTGGCCAACCCGCCGCCTCCTGGCTCACCCTATGGAGTCCCCATCCCAGGCTCTGAGAAGGAAGGCCGCAGTGCCATCTATCGTCACTGGCGCTTCCGCGACGGCCCTCTGCTGTCCACTTTTGATCCCGCCGTCCAGACCGTTCACGATCTGTTTGAGGAGTCCTCCAAGAAGCGCCCGAACGCCAAGTGCTTGGGTCACCGAGCATGGAACCCGGCAGCCAAGGACTGGGAGAACAAGTACACCTGGGCTACCTATGCCGAGGTTGCCGAGCGTCGCAAGAACTTTGGCGCTGGTCTGATTGAGATTCACCAGAAGATTGGCATCACCAGCGACAACTACGGTGTCGGTTTGTGGTCGCAAAACCGCCCCGAGTGGCACATTGCTGGTACGTTGGCCGTCACATGCCAGGCACGAGGCGCAAACTGCATACTGACTCGAAGTAACCAGATCTCGGTGCTGCATCCCAATCTCTCTTCACCGTCTCTCTCTACGACACCCTCGGCCCCGACACGACCGAATACATCATTAACCACGCCAGCTTGGCTTGCGTAGCTACCTCGCTCCCGCACATCCCCGTCCTGCTGAAGCTTGCCCCGCGCCTCCCATCACTCAAGCTCATTGTGTGCCTCGACTCTCTGGACGACGGCGAGCAGGCTGGCTACTCCAAGCTGTCCGTTCTGAATGGTATCGCTGCCCAGAATGGCATCCAGATCTACTCCATGGCGAACGTCGAGGAGCTAGGTCTTAAGTCTGGCCGTCCCATGCGCCCCCCACGCTCGACCGACTACGTCACCATCAACTACACTTCTGGAACTACCGGTATGCCCAAGGGTGTCGTCCTGACCCACGGCAACGCCGTTGCAGGCCTCACCGCCGCGAGATCCGCCGGCACCGTTACCTACAAGGACGTGCACATCTCTTATCTGCCTCTCGCTCACATTTACGGAAGAATGGTTGACCAGACCGCTCTGGCAGAAGGCGCTTGCATTGGTTTCTTCCGCGGCGATATCGTTGGACTGGTAGACGACATGAAGATTCTCGAACCCACAGGGTTCATGTCTGTTCCCCGTCTATACAACCGCTTCAATTCGGCCATCCGAACCGCCACGATCGAAGCAGATGGTGTCAAGGGATCCCTGTCCCGCCAGGTTGTCAGCACCAAGAAGGCCAACATGAAGCAGCCCGTTGGTAAGGCAAACAACTCTCACTTCTTGTACGACAGAATCTGGACTCCCAAGGTTCGTGCTGCCGTCGGTCTCAAGAAGGCGCACAGCATGATCAGCGGTAGCGCTCAGCTGGACCCTGATGTTCACGAGTTCTTGCGCGCGGCTTTCGGCAACCACTTTGTGCAGGGATACGGCCTGACAGAGACGTACGCCGTCTCGACTGTTCAGCTGAAGGGTGACTTCAGCCTGGGCAACATCGGACCGCCAGCTTCTTGCAACGAGATCTGCTTGGAGTCGGTTCCCGACTTTGACTACTTCGTCACAGACAAGCCCTACCCCCGTGGTGAGATCCTCCTTCGTGGTCCCAGTATCTTCAAGGAGTACTACAAGAACGAGGAGGAGACGAGCAAGGCCCTCGACGCAGATGGTTGGTTCCACACTGGAGATATTGCCGAGGTCGACAACATGGGTCGCTTCAAGATCGTCGATCGCAAGAAGAACGTGCTCAAGCTGTCGCAAGGAGAGTACATCTCCCCTGAGCGTATCGAGAATGTCTACCTGGGTAGCTGCAGTCTGCTGGCCATGGCATACGTCCACGGTGACCCGTCTCAGTCAGCGCTTGTTGCTGTCTTTGGTGTCGACCCTGAGAACTTTGCACCATTCGCAAGCAAGATCTTGAAGAAGACCATCGACAAGACCGACATTGCAGCAATCAAGGCAGCTGGCGCCGACAACAAGGTCAGGAAGGCTCTTCTTGCAGAGCTTGACAGAATTGGCAAGAAACACAAGTTCAACAGCTACGAGCGTGTGCGCAGTGTCTACCTCACCATCGACCCCTTCAGCATCGAAAACGAGCTGTTGACACCTACGTAAGTGGAAGCTATTGACGCTAGACATGGACACCTGCTAACCAAGTATCAACAGTCTTAAGTTGAAGAGACCGCAAACCGCAAAGGCGTTCAGGGCGCAGATCGACCAGATGTACGAAGAGGTCAACGCGGAGCCGTCGACCAAGGCCAAGCTTTAGAAGGTCTTTTTATTTAGAGGATTGGCGTTGGATGATGTCGTGTCACATATAGGCGGGCAATGCTGTACCATATAAGATGATCTATTAGCTTTCTAGAGTCTACGTCCAATATTTTTAAAGAAAAAAATCCCTGTGTTCCTACTTTAGGGAAGGCTATTTCATGAGACATGGTTTGATATTGATCGACTAGTTATATACTGCTTTAATGCATATTTTGCTCTATAGCGTCAGAGGAAGAAGTAGCGTTCTTATGTTGCTATATTTGTTCACATTTAATAATGACATTTCCCTATTTAGTACAACATAGTGTCACTAACATTTATACATCGGGCATTTCTGACATTCGACATGTGCCTTTTCCGACTTTGATGCGCAAAGTGCGCGCGCGCATAGCGCCTGTTATATGAGCCAGCGGCGGGCGTGAACTGGCGCATCTGGCACCTGCGGGGCCGATGACCTCCGAAGCCAATGGCGCTCAGGTCCGACGTGCGACACGACGGCATTGGGGGGCTATTTGATTCAACGGCCTTCTAAAGCCATTCGATTGGACCATTCTTGTACTGGCGCATTTAGACTTTATCGCGACGTTTAGGCTCTTTGGACGCGATGGCTGCTGAGGGACACGATACATGAGCGCAAGACAGCGTCGAGGACTATGTTTAATTTCAAGTTCTTATACTCGTATGACAAGCCACTCAATAATTAATCTTTGAATTACTTGTTGTACATCATGTTTCTGGACCTTTTGATGGTTTCTAGAAGGAACTGGGTTGTTTTTGCCGAGGTTCCCGTAATCTAGCGCGATGCTTCGTGAAGGGTCCAAAAGCTTGATATGTCACTGGAGGAACGAGGCGTGTCCACGTCATTGAGCGACAGGATATCAGCTCAATGAGCCGTCGCAAATGCTTACATCTTCCTTGATCTTTGTGAGGCGTTTCGATAGCCGAACAATATGTATTCGAACATTTAGACCACCTCTTTGATGTTGAATAATTCTTTAACTGCGATTTAGCAAGGAAAATATTTATACTCATTAATAAATATTAATTTGATATTTAGATTTAAATAATTAGTTCCATGTTCTTTTAGAAAACAACAATAAAATCAAAGCTTAGTAATTAAAAAGAACTTCTATTTCTAAAAGTCCCAAAGTTATTACATTTTAAGAAACGAATGTTTTTCTTATGTAAGACTATTTTAGACCCTTGCGATCCTTGGGAAGGTGCATGGGTCCACTTTTCTTGCTACTTCCATTTGACCCGCCTCTGTTGATTCCAGTTATAGCTACGTTTATCTTAATTAACTGCGACTTAACGAACTGCCGGTTTTACGCGTTTACGAACCTCACTTTACGCGCGCGCGCTGACCGAATTTCGGCTGGACGACGACTACGCGTCGCCGTCCGCAAGATCACAGTAATGATTGCGACTCCGAGGGATACGACAACTGCCACGCCGTCGATCAATTTAACGGCAGCCCCGAAGAGGACCGCCGACATCATTGACCTGACTCTTGACGACTACGACGACGACGACAAAACTCCCCCAGCCTCCAGCTCACGGCTTCCAGACACCGAACCGCCTCGAAAGAAGTTTCGAATAGACTATGGCCCCAAGTCTCCTGTCGACCCGAATGGTGGTGACCCTGAGGTGTACACCGAGTGCCTGAACAAGCAGGTCAGGCCATTCATCACTCAGGCGCTGCTCGAACTTCCGGTTGAGAAGTTCAAGGTCGCAGAGATCGCTCGAACGGTAAGCAGGACGCTCTCTCTCTCTCTCTCTCTCTCTCTCTCTCTCTCTCTCTCTCTCTCTCTCTCTCTCTCTCTCTCTCTCTCTCTCTCTCTCTCTCTCTCTCTCTCTTTGTTCCCCTCTCCTCTCTCGTATTCTCACCCTTCGCCCTCGAAAGCGCACTATCTAATACCACGGCTACAGGTGATCAAGGAAGTGTACCGTGCCGCTATAGAAGAAGAAACAATCGACATCAACAACGGCCGCCTGACCCAAAGTGCAGTCAACAAGCTAGTCTTCATCGCACGTTTTTGTATTAAAGACTATTGCGACAATCACGAGGTAAGGTCCGACCTTTTTACACTTACTCACGCACCGCCTCAGGACGGCTATATGCGAGTGAAGTACTGACTTGTATCTCAGGAATTCAGGAAACAGCCGAAGCCTCCTGCTCCTACTCCTCCTTCTCCGCCCCCGCCTGCCTATACACCCGCACCGCGCGGTCGGAATTTCAAGTTCAATCCTGCTATCTTTACTGGTATTCCGGTACCCCTCCACCCGGACGGATATCGCGGGTCAAGGCTTGCTGCCCAAGGTCCTTCGACAGCCCCAGCGAGGCCAGCGCCGCGGCCGGCGAAGAAACAGGCCAAACCGAAGCCTCCACCGAAGCATCGACGAGAGCCTCAGCCGGTGCCTGAGCCAGAGCATCAACCCGAGCCCGAGCAAGAGCCCGAACCACAGCCTCAAGCTCCAGCCACAGAACCCCGACCGTCGCCGTTTCGTCAACGAACTACAGAACGAGGGCGCAAGCCAGGTCCTTCAAGTCATGGAAGGCACTCGACTCACAAGCCAAGGCGGCGGCTACTCCAGGCCACAAGGCCAAAGTAGCCTGGATGACGATGGCGCGGCGGCCGTACACCACAACGGAAGAGCGTCAAACGATTCTTCGCGGCACCTCCAAGCTTGTCCGAAACGTACCACCGGCGGCGGCAGCGCTGGGCTCACTGCCCTTCCACGTCGACTTTACGCCAGACGAGCTGGACGACGTTCGGAGAATAGTGCGGGCCATGTGCGACAAGAAGGTCAAGCACAAGCGGAGAAACGACACCGACAGAGAGCTGGGCAAGATGCTGAGGAAGCGGCCTGACCTGCTCACGGCTATACCGCCCATGATTGAGCTCAAGGGAATGCTTGCGCAACGAGACCACGTTGCGATTCGGAACTTCCTCGACGAGTTGGCAAATCGGCATAAAAAACCGGCCCGGCATCCAAAGGTGCTGACGTTGGAGGTGGACGAGTCCGATAAGCAGGGCGAGGCACAGCGTACCAGTCAGATCTCTGCGCTCCTGTTGGCGCGAGAAATTGATGGCAACAGAGGGTTTGGCCGGATGCGTCGCCACGTTAACTTCACCAATGAGTTTAGGAAGGCTCATGAAGATGATATGGAGATGCGGGCAGAGTGGGTGGGCTGCGCTGGTGACATTATGACGATTGCGTGGACTTCAGATACCAACTTCATCTGCGGTGCCACAGCTCACTCCGATTCGCACAACCAGCAATACAATAAGGCCGGTAACCTTTTGCTCTGCTCGACGACGTTGGGTCAGCTTAAGGCGTATCCGGACCACAGAATCCCTCGACCAATTGTCGAGAAGGGCGAGAACTCCACAGATGCTATGAGGGAAAGCCAGAGCCCGTGGCTTTACTCATCCGTCGTGTCTTCTGACTATGATCGCATTAACAACCGTGCTTACACGTCTAGTTTTGACAAGACTGTCAAGGTGTGGAGCGTGGACGATAGAGGAGCAAATATGGAGGTTTTAGGCACCTGGGCACACGCGGGCAACGTCAACTTCGTGGCTGTCTCTAAGCGTGAATCCGGCATGGTGGCGACTGCCGCCGATGTGTCCACCCAGGCTGTCCGAGTTTACCGCGTTGACAACGACAACGTATCTCAGAGCCCGTACCAGATATTTACAGGCTCTAGAGCGTGGGATGAAGGGAACGAAGAGACGATAGCGACCCAGAAATGGGCCTACTTCCCGGCAACAATGCAATGGGGCTTGGCTGAAGGCGTGCAACACCTGCTCCTCGTTGGCTACTCTCCTCGCAGTCTCACTGGGGACGATAACGACATTCCTGATGAGAAGCTGAACACTGGCGAGATCTGTCTTTGGAACTGCCTCACGGGCGAAAAGATCAAGGTCTTGACGGCATCTACACAAAACGTCTTTGAGGTGGTTTGGCATCCCACCCTACCGAGCTTCATCGTGGCAACGTCGCCAGCTGGATTGATGATCGACGACCAGACTCTGACGCAGATTCGGATCTTCCGCCCTAGCTTGACACCTGAAGGCGATACTGCCTTTAGTGAGATGCAGTGCCTGGACTGCCCGGCCAAGGATATCAACGAGCTCACCATCAAGCCGAACAGCGTCCTCTGCTCATACGTGACTGCGGCTTGCACCGATGGCAAGGTCTACGTCTGGGATACCTCACGAGGTGACAAGCCTATCCACGCTCTCCGGCATAAGAAGCCGATTGACGAAATCTTGGGAAATCGAGACGAAGTGGACGTGGGTGTCAAGTTTACGGCGTGGGGCACCACTGCGGATCGCTTCTATACAGGCGGATCAGACGGAGTAGTTAAGGTGTGGAACGTACGCAACTTGCGGCAGCCCCTCGTCCGCGACCTCTTGGAAGCTCCTGGAGCTATAGCATGCGGAGCCTTTTCTCCATGCCACTCGAGGCTTGTTATCGGAGACGCTAGCGGCCGAGTGGTGCTCCTCTCGCTGAACAAGGGGGACGAGCCTCCAGCCAAGTTTGTCCTACCCCCGATGCCGCCGGGTATGCGACCCCGTCGTCCCGTGCGCCGCCCGATTCCCGTCATCGAGCACGCCGATCCTTCGGCGCCGCACCATCAGAATCAGGAGCAAAACCAAGAACCCAAGACGGGCGTGGAAAGAGGACGAAGCATGCTCTCCTCCGGCCAGCTCATGCGTCACCCGGACGCCACCGTCGGCGTCATCCAGGGGCCGGCGTATTCCACCCTCGGCCTGCACTGCCCCAAATCGCACTTTGAGGGCGACGCATCCCAGCCGTTACTGGCCAAAGTCGAAGAGATTCAGCAGGAGAACCAAAAGATGTTCCGCCGCAGGTCGTTAAGAGTCGCCCGCCTCCGGCCGCTAACCGACGTGGGCTCCGTGGCGCTCGAGCGTCGGCATGCGGGGAACGTGGCGAGGGACTTGGATCTACAGGGGCTCGACGAGATGACGAAGCTTGATTTGCTCATGGACCAGGTGAATATCGACGATCCTATTTACGATGAGGGCTGGGATTACGAATATGAGGAAGGGGACCTCGAAAAGAGCATTTGGGCTACGCTTTCGGAAGGAGCGGAAACACTTTAAAGAAGGGCTGATATTGCCCTTATCGGATACAAGCTTGTTTAGCTTATGGCCTTTATGAGTTCAGAAGGCCGATGTTGCCTTTACTGGACACGAGCTCACCTAGCTGATGGCCTTCACAAGCTGAGGGAGGATGTAGATAATTCTGTTAGATGAATACCAAGACTTACGACATTAAACTGAGGTTCTATTAATGATGCGAAATAGTAGCTGCTTGATTCTGTCTTGAAGCTTAGGGGCTTGCTTCTTTTTTTTAGCATTTATATCGATTCATTAAGACGAACTAGCCTCATAGCACTTCAATAATCTAGCAACGTTTGGTACTATCAAGGCTTGGTTTAGTAAACATTGAATAGACGGCCTCTAGGGACTAGGTTATAACGCGGCACCGTAGGTCAGAAGAAAGGGCGCCGTTACGACATTTATAGAGGGATATAGAGTCCTCTAGGATAAGGCGGTATCTTGTCGATTGACCCCAAGTAAAGCTCCAAGTGCATTGATCTCATCCCTTCTGATTCCTCAATGCTCAGCTTCCTGTAAGATGTGAACAAGGGAATTATGTACTAAAGTGAATACCCCCCGCCGTGTGAGCATAAATATTGCACACCAGCCTGACGAGCAGCTCTGTTGCCAACGATGGTCAGGCATCATCCCCACTACGACCAGCATGCCCAACAGGATCAGAATGACGGTCATGACCATCTCAAGGACTTGCATGAAGGCATGGTGCCTGTTCACATTCCTTTACTAACGCTCGAGAAGTGTGCTGTTCAAGGAAGCCCTTTGTCTTTATTCTCACAAGCTCCCTGCTCCCGCTCACGTTCATGCTCGCATGGTAAATTCTGTTATGAATACAGGCAGCGACGGAATGTGTGCGATGAGAGAAGCTAATAGCACTGGGGCTAACTTGCGACGTTGGGAACGCATCAAAGATTTCCTCGACCATCCTATTTGTCTTCGTGCCTCAGGTCGTCGCCAACTTTACTGAGGCCTTACATTGTCGTGGACCGAGGAGGTACAAGTCGCTGCAGAATCCAATTGATTGAGAACAATAGCGCCGGTTAAACACCTCCCCAACACAAGACGTCAAAATACAAGGCAGGGATAAAGGGGTGGTGTTTCGAGATGACTCCCCCGAGTGGGTCAGGGAGAGGCGGCAGCTACAACGCTGAGGAGCCTTCCTTCCTTCCTCAACTAGCTCCGTCTCATACGGAGTAGGAGGAGACCGAGGTTTTTGTGGAAGTTATATCATTGCCTATAGAATGCCTCCTCTAGGTCTCATTATTCAAATAGAACAAGGCATCGCGTGGCCTCCTATCAGCACACGGCGGCCATAACCCCAGGTGTCAACGGCCATCATGTGTGTATGTGTGTACAAATGTTATGCTGATAGCATCCGCTCCAAATCTCAAAAGACTATCCTATTACAAATAAGCACAGTCTCAGCCCCTCTATACTCCCGCTCCCTCCTACCATGGCATGTTCTATAATGAATATGAGGGGGTCGGCGGGATCTTACTAGAGGACACTGTCTTGAGCTACCTTGTTGCCTCGTAATATATGGGAGTGTGTATATGGTATTCCTTGTCTATGCTTTTGTCTTGGGTAGTAGTACTTATATCCTCAATAGCGAGGCAGATGTAGTCATATACTGAGAAAGAACTTAATAATTACAGAACTTACTACGCTTGGAGCGATGGTGCCGGTTATATATTATACTAATATAGGATTTCGAATCTCCAAGCAGGCACCAAGGAAATGCAGTCCCCCCTAAGAGGTCTAGGAAGACTGGCCGGCAATGATAATTCCAAGGAGAATGTTCATATCCTACATACACTCTCCAAGAGATATACCGAAAAAAAAAAGAAAGAAAAAAGAGTTCACCCCCCCGGTGTTGAACTGGGGGCTACATCTCTTGGTGCACATGCTGGGAATTGTTGACCATATGCCACTCCCCCACCCATCCCAGTTTGACCTGACCCGTCGGCCTAGACGGGCGCCTGCTGGTTGTGGTGACCAAATTGGGATTGAAGGGGGGTATATAGCTTTCTTCCTGGCGGTATGTTGCGTGTGGAAGGTATGGTCGGTAAGATGGGAAGGGAGGTGTGGTCAATAAGGAGGGAAGGCACGGTAAGGTACGGTCAGAACATTCGAAATGCAGTTGTCATTTGAGAGCGGGGGAAAGGACTTGACCAGCTAGCCTCCTTCTATCCAAGCTTGAAGATACTGTCACGAGTTTCCTTCTCAATGTCATTCCGCACCCGAATGGATCGGAGATGAGCCGCAGGTATTAAGTAGACGAACTTAATTACTGAGGGCTCACTTCTTCGGTGTCAAATCTGGTGGTTACATCAGTGGGCAGGCCTTGTTCGTCGCCATTTTCGCGTGGCCAATATAGTTGCAAGAGTAATTCTTAACTTTATGTCTACTTGTACATTAGTGGCGATGCCCTTTTATGAACTATCACGAGGTAGTGTATCCAGATCATCACGGCATCACCAAGGTTCAGGGACGAGATGTAGACTCAAATAGTCTTTGCTTCTCCTAAGTTACAGATGGAGGTTCGAGTGAAAGTCACCCTACAACCAAGAACCAGTTTACCAAACCCTTGAAGCCCAAAAGCCAGCAAGAACTACGATAAGCATCATAGTGCGCGGGTATCGAAAAAAACAAAGTCCTGATCCACCCCCTTTCCTCTCCAAACGAGCTCAGTTACTTTTGGTGTGGGTATTTCCTTTTCCCCCTTGATATCCTTGCCCTCGCTTTCCACCCCACGTGAACGCCGGCCCAATGCACACATCCATGATTATCGCAGGCCAAAAGCCAAAGCTCGCGAGGGTCCAAAGGGACGTCGAAATGCAGAAGCAAATAAAGTATAACCCCCCTTTCCTTTCCATATACAACGGTCAACGGATCCGAGAGGCCGCGGAGGAAGAAAACTTAGTTGTCCTTGGCGGCCGGGAACGCGAAGCCGGGAGGGTACGCGGGCATGCCGTTGGGCAAGGTACCAATGCCGTAGGGAAACTGCTGCGGAAGCGGCTGAGAGTTGGCCGAGGAGAACTTCTTGTCGTCACGGCGGTTATGGTCACGGTCGCGGCCACGGCGCCAGCGACCGAGATCCTCGCGGCTTTCTTCGCGTCCGCCGCCACGGGTGGAACGAGGTCCGTGGTTACCGCTCTTGTCGGTCTGCATGCGGCGGCTAATGGCCTTGGAGGAAACGCCGTTGCCGATCTCGATATCCGGCTCCTCGACGACCATGCCCTCGTCGATGGGCTTACCACCACTGCCACCGTACTCGGCAGTCAACATCCACTTGCGATCGGCCTCGGTGAGCTTGCTGATGGGGATGATGCTAACACCCGTACGGTAGTCGCTGCAGTCACGCGGGCCAAAGCCGACACCCCAGCGGGTCTAGGTTGTGTTAGTCGAGAAGATTGGTAAACAGAGATCATGAAGACTTACTCTCAACTGCGACTCATCGTCATTCTGGGGCATGCTGCCGTTGGCACGCATCTCCATGCCATCCTTGGCACGAACGGCATCCTCACGGGAGACCATCTTGACGAAGGCGTGTCGCTTGTCCTTGTTAACGATGCAAGACTGAACCTGGCCAAATCGAGTAAAGATGGCACGAAGCTCGTGCTCAGACTGGCTGTAGAGGCTGTCAGTCAATGTTCCGGTGAGTGGAGATGCTTCCGGCTATACTTACTTGACACCGCCGACGAAGAGCGTGCGGCTCAGAACCTTGATGTGCCCAGGCTTCAGATTACGGTCATAATCAATCCACTTGGCATCCGAGCCACGGCGCGAGTCACCATGGCCACCGTGAGAAGCACTGTGGCTTCCATGAGGGCTACGCTGGCGGTATTCGCTGCCATAGCGACCGTCTCTACTGTCACGACGGCCTCGGTCCGGGGAGCGATGTCCATGGTCATAGCCATTGTCACGGTCATGAGAAGAGCTGCCAGAGTTCCAACGACGGCCAGGCGATCTGGACCGGGATGTACGTTGATATCTGCTCCCGTCTCCACCGGTGTTGCGCTCGTAGCGAGACCCCCCACTGGTGCCATTGGGCTGAACAGGACCGCCCCATCCCTGACCGCTGCCATAGTAATTCTGAGCGGCGATGGGGACTGGAGTAGATGTGGTCGAGGGCGCGAGTCCCGTAGAAGCGGCGCCATTCTGGTTGCTCGCAGCCGCAAGTGCGGCAACAATTTGCTCCGCGGTGAATCCCGAATTGGCAAACATTTGCATGAGAGCCATCTGCTGACCGTTGACTCCCTGTGAAGGCTGAGGGCTAGGTCCTGGGAATGGCAGACCAACAGGAGGAGCCTGAGTCTGGCCTTGGGTATATGCGTACGGAGCCGCTGGGTTAGGGGGTCCACCGGGGAAGGGAGGCATTGAGTATGGAGCCTGCTGAAACTGGTTGATGGGAGGAGCAGGAGGCGGCGGTGGCTGCTGCTGTTGCTGTGGGGTAGAGCTCTGGAGTCTAGAGAGTAAGTCTTGCAAGTTCTGAGGTACTGCCGGAGTCTGAGTCTGAGCCGGGGCGGGAGGCTGAACGTTGCCTTGAGGCTGGCCGTTAGCAGCTCGAGTTTGGTCATTGCCATGGGCCTGGCTATAATTGTGACCTTGGGCAAAGTTCTGGCCATGTCCGTTACTCTGACTCTGACTATTCTGCGGCTGGCCGTAGCCTTGTGTCTGAGGCTGGCTCTGGACGGACTGCGTAAGTTTGGCCAGGTTGGCGATGATGCTGTTGGCATCAGCAGGCCGGGGGTGAGCAGAGGGGGCAGCCGTCTGTTTGGATCTATAGCCCATGGCCTCGACCAAGCCTGGTGGGGGACTACCCTCAGGCGTGTAGGACTGAACTGAACGGGTAGAGGAGTCAGCAAAACTTGAATCCATACTTGTACAAAGGTGGCAATGAAGCTTGTTGATCGTCTGGTGGAATGATGACATACTCGGGTCAGGCGAAGATTCAATCTTCCGCTGGAAATCATCGAGGACGTCAGGAGAGAAGGTGGCGACTCTACGCCATATCTCGAGCAGCTTAAGCAGTTTCTCCTACATAAAGGGCAGCAGTGTAAGTAGATTGCTCATCAATATCAACAGTGAGCAAAGAACACATAGACACCCATTAACGTATCTGAATGAGTCTCAAGCGTTCACCCTCACATATCTCCAGTATGAGAGAGTTGAAAGAATGAAGGGCGAAAGGTATCCCGGTCAATATCGAAACCGTTATGAGATGTACAAATACAAAGTATCGTAGCGAAGGGTTGTTCAA